CAGAGGTGAGACAATTGGCTGATGAGTCTCCTTCAGGGTTTCCGGAAAGATGGCTAGAGGCTGTTACATTAATACACCCAAGGATCCGGTAGTACCTAAAAAGCAAGGACCATTAATATTGCCTTTGTAACTGTGGGCCCCTGATATTAAGCAAAAATTGCAAAGGCTTGAGGGATTTGAGGAAATGCCCTCAGTTAGTTATTAGAGATTGCTTAAAAGATATTTGACAACCAGGAGGACATGAAAGACCAGAAGTGGACAAAGGTGCTGGGAATGTTAGCTGACAAAGTCACCCAGCAGAATGAGACGTCTCCTCCACCCCTAGATAAAAATCAATGTGCTTAATTGCAAAGTAAAGGGGAATTGGTGAAAGGACTGTCCCATATGGACTGTTCCATGGGTTTTAGATCTTTCCAAGGGGCTGGATAACGTGGCAACCGGATGGCCGCCTGTCTACAGGTGATTTCCTCAGTGGCCTGCATAGTAAAAGAGGCTCAAAAATTGAATTTTCAATGGAAACTCCTAATTGTCTCCTCCCATTCACTGGAGACTTTCATCAGTGCTCTGAGGGACCAATGGCTGCCTAACTCCTGAGTGATACACTCAGGTATTACAGGCATAACTTCTAGATCTGACTACCATCAGTTTCAAGGGGATAGCGTCTTTGAACTCAGCTACTCTACTGCCTGATGATGACCTCACCTTGCCCCTCTGATCATCTCATGGAGCATCGACCAGACTTGACAGATGAGCCACTATCCAGATTTCCATCATATTTCTCTGATGGAATCAGATACATCTATCAAGGTAAGTGGTTCATGGGAGCCACCGTCACTACTGACTCTCAGATTCTATGGGAACAAACCTCGGAGAGAAGAACATTGGCTCAATGGGCTGATTTCAATTGCCCTCACTGAGGCCCTCAAGTTGTCAGACTGATAGCAGATACGCATTTGCTACTGCCCATGTTCATGGGGCCATTTAACAGAAATGAGATTTATTGACTTTAGGGGGCCAAAAGCTCAAAAATGCTCCCCAAATTTTGGATTTGTTGTCTGCCATTTGGATGCCAAGGAAGGTGGCTTTTATTCACTGCACATCCAATCATGTGCGAAATGATCCTGTTACATGAGGGAACAATCTAGCAGATGCCACTTCCCAAAAAGCAGCCCCAAAATCAGTGGGGACTGAGACAGCCCCAGCATTGCTGTTGATTCCACCTACTCTGTCAGAGCCCTTTTACACTCAAAAAAACTTACATTTGGAAGCTCAACTCTGGGCAAAGCCTGATATCCCCAGGGGCTGGTACCAACTGCCTGATAAGTGAGTCCTCCTCCCCGAGGCCTTGGGATGAGAATTCATCCAACAAGATCATCAGTCCACTCACATGGGAGAATCAAAACTCGCTGCTCTTTTTTTGAGATCATTTTTTATCCCTCAGTTATCAAAGCTTACTCAGTCTGTGAGCCTTAGATGCCCTCAGCCCCAGTTGGTAAGCCCAAAGTAATCACAACAAATGGAAACCATTCATTATTGTGGGACTGTGCCTGGAGAACATTGGGAAGTAGACTTTACAGAAATGGGGAAGCCTGGATTTCAAATATATAAGTATTTGCTAGTAATGATTGGTACTTTCACTGCATGGGTTGAAGCCTTTCCTAGTAAATCTGATTCAATTCATCTTGGATGATAGTCAAAAAGGTTTTGTATGAGGTTATCCAAAGATTTGGCCTCCCTTTATGCATGGGGTCTGACAATGGCTCAGCTTTTATATCCCAGATAACTCAAAAACTAACCAAAGTCTTGCAGATCCATTGGAAACTCCATTGCACTTATTGGCCTCAAAGTTCAGGACAAGTAGAAAGGATGAACCAGACCTTAAAAACAGTAACAACTAAAATGGCATTGGAAACTGGTGAGAACTGGATGAGTTTCCTTCCTTTTTTCCTCTTGCACACACGATGTACCCCCTATGTTGCAGGTGTTTCCCCCTTTTGAAGCTCTATATGGGAGACCTCTTCCTCTTATTATTAAGATTTCTGAGGAAAAAATTAGCTAATCTGGCTAATCAAGATCTTGTTAAGTCCTTCCACACTCTTCAGCTAGTTGTGACTCTGACAACAATATCCTCCCCCTGCAGTCCACTCTGAAGAATGCCCTGCTGTGGAACCTGGGACACTAGTTTTCATCAAGAGACATTACCATGAATCTCTCAAACCATGGGTGGAAGGCCCTATACCACGGTCCTCAGCACTCCAGCTGCCATCAAAGTTGCTGGAAAGCCTACCTGGATTCATCATTCCCATTTCAAGCCGGTTCCAGCTCCAACAGTGATCAACCTACAGATAAAGGGACTGATGTTTCCTCCAAATGTATCTGGTAATCTTGTTCTTATGTGTTCTTCTTTAGGGAAATCCCAATGAGATACCTCATAACCCACTGTTTGGAACTTGGAAAATTACTATTTCATTAGTGAATTATTGGTAGCCAACAGTACTGTCCATGGGATAATTTAGATAGATTTATGTGCCCTGTTAGATAACATCCCAGCAAAAATTAGACATAAAATTAGACAGAATGTTATTGGGTCAGCATTTCTTACTGCATGATTGGTTGCTAATGAAACCAACAGGGTCTTGCAGGGACCTATGTAGTCCAAAGGAATTACACTAGTAGGTGTTCAGTCTGTAAAGACAGAATATTTTTGTAGACATTGGGGCTGTAAATCTGTATCTTCTTGGCAGGGAAACAAAGGGGGTTACCTTTTCCTTACATGGGAGACCCCATCTTCCTGCAACCTCAACCAGTGTAATCTTATGACTTTCAGACCCAAAATCCCAACTGATCCTGTTTGGAAAGCAGGATTACATTATGGTATTAGGTTATGGGTCTCTGGATATGACCCAGGGAGTGCCTTTACCATTCAGTTCATTGTTGGGCCTGTTTGGACAGCCCCTACCAGGCGCATAGGCCCTCAGCTTCCCCAGGCACCTCAGTCTCTTCCTGTGACTCATCTCCTGCCCTCCTACACTAGATTTCCTGCTCCTGAGACCTTTTTGCCCCTGCTATTTCTGTGCCATCCCTAGACCCCTTCTTGCCTCTGCACATTGCTTACCAGTTTCTCAATCTTAGTTCCCCAAACTTCACTGCTGATTGTTGGCTATGCCTTCCATCTCAACCTCCCTTCCATATGGGCACCCCTGTTACTATTATGGCAAATCAACTTTTAAATTCCTCTGCAGATGACACCACTTGTTGGTGGGGTACTAGGCCCCTGCTCACACTGGACAACATACAGGGTGCTCTAGGAACCTTTACTTACTCTGCCTCCTGCTCCTTGTACTCTTCCCCTTATGCTGCACTCTGTAATCTTACCTCTTCAGCTTTGATTCATAATTTTACCAATCCTGCTAATCAGCACCTTGTTCCTCCCAATGGAACCTGGTTTGCCTGTACTTCTGGTATAACTTCTTGTTCCATTCATCTCCTGTTCACCCAGAACCCTGAGCTTTGCATATTAGTCAATATCTTTCCCCAAGTATATTGATACTCTAGAGATAATGGTAGCTTTGACTTAAAGAGTCTGGTTCAAGTGAAGTGAAATCCTGTACTCTTACCTGTATTACTGGGAATTGGGATGGCAGAGTCAATAGGTTTAGGAGTGTCCAGCCTGATAGGTGGAGACCAAAATTGTAGACTCTTAAGTGCACTCCTTGACCAAGATCTAGCAACCCTTAGTGACTCCGTCTCCAAATTAGATAATTCTTTAAATTCACTGGATGAGATGATCTTAGAAAACCAGTACAGTCTAGATCTCCTGTTTCTATAGGAAGGAGGCCTCTGTCTGTCATTGGGAGAAAATTTGTGCTTGTATGCCTCATTCTGGGGTTATCCTACAAAGTATGGCCAGCCTTAAAAGGTGGCTACAGGAACAAGAACAAGCCACACAAGCTGAACAGAATTGGTTTAAACTATGGTTTTCTCTATCTCCCTGGGTGACAACATGAATCACAGCAGCCTCCAGACCTCTGTTAATCTTACTTACTTGTTTAACAATTGGACCTTGCATTATAAACAAATTGGTAAATTATGTCAAAGATTGGATTCAAAATATAAAACTCACGATTTTAAGGACAAATGTTTATGAACAGATAGCTCTGCTTAAAAACTCCGTGAGCCAATGATTTGGTTCACTGACAAAAATCAGTGGGGAATATGTACTAAAATGCTAAAAAACTAAAATTCAAAGTTAAAAAGACAGTTATTAGCAAAAATAGTTAAAAGATAGTTATTAGAAGAATTGTCATTTGTGCTAGTAACCACATAATTGAAGTACCAATGACATAGTTATAGATTAACTGACCACATAGTCATGTTATTCTCTATGCATTGTCCCATGAATAACCTGTTTGCTGTTTCAATCTTTGTTCCCTTTGTAAGAGACAAATGATGCTGTGTCAACTATTGTTCTCTTTGTGAGAGATAAATGTTCCTGGAATTGGCAGGCCAAGGGTTATAAATTGGCTAACCACCCACTGTGAAATTCCTCAAGCAAGGGGAACAAAAGTTCACCTTGTTTTTGTTTCTCATCACTATGTATTTAAGTGGTCAATGAGCTAATCCTAAATGAACTATAAAAATTTGTTAAAATTCTAACCCACCTGAACAACTTTGCAAACTCCATCTGTACTGTGCCACTGAGTACCAGCTTAAATAAAAGTGCTTCTTCTTAAAAGATGACTTGCCCCCCTTGTTGACAACAGACAACATCATAGGGCTTGCTTTGAGGGTACAGCACCTAGAAATTGAAAATTGTATCATTTAAAATCCTGGGAACACACATATGTGGCTGTATTTTATATTAAAATGGGTCATCACATATCCAGGATTTATTAACATGGTTGTCTTTCTCCACATTGTATTTATGCATTTCCATGCCAGAAAAAGGTATCAAGAGAATAATTTATCCTTTTTTTACTTTTTTCTTTTTTTGAGACAGGGTCTCGCTATGCAGTTCAGGCTGGCCTTGGGCTCACTGTGTAGCCCCACTGGTCTCAAACTTGCAATGATCCTCTTGCCACAGCCTCCTGTGTGCTGGGATTACAGGAGTGCACCATCACACCCAGATCAAAAGTATAATTTCCAGGAAGAAGACATACAAGCTGTGCTGCCTTCTTAACTGCATGCCTAAGAATAAAGGTAAAGGAGGTAAAAATAGACGCAGAGGAAAGAATGAGAATGACTCTGAAAAAAGAGAATTGGTGTTCAAAGAGGACACACAAGAATATGCTCAAGTAATCAAAATGCTGGGTAATGTACGATTAGAAGTGATGCATTTCAATGGTGTGAAGAGCCTGTGCTACATCAGAGGGAAGTTGAGAAAAAAGGTTTGGATAAATATCTCAGACATCATATTGGTTGGTCTCCATGACTATCAAGATAGCAAAGCTGATGTGATTCTAAAGTACAACGCGGATGAAGCAGGAAGTCTGAAGGTGTATGGTGAGCTTCCTGAGAATGCCAAGATCAATGAAACTGATACGTTTGGTCCTGGAGATGATGATGCAATTCAGTATGATGACATTGGAGATGATGACGAAGACATTGACGATATCTAGATTGAACCCACCACTTTATTACTATTTTTTGGAAGTTTGTCCTACAGTTTGGATTTTAGCCATAACCCTCCTAGAAGTTTTCATTAACATGACTGTGATTTATTAAGGCAGTTTGATTTGGTTCTGAGATATTTTTCTGTTAAAATTGTTAATGCTGAATAATCTTAAGTGAAATGTTATGCCCATTTTGTTCTTTTGATGTAATGGAGTTTATGGATAGAAGACCACGTGTATTTCAAAAAATAGTGCTTTACTGCCTTTCCTGCCATTTGCCGTGAGTAAATGGATGTTTTGAATAAACCATTTGCTATGGATTGTGATAAAAAAGTATAATTTCCAATGGTTGCTCTATCCCTTTACAAAGACTTTTTAAAAAAATACTAACTTATTGGTATTTTTTCTAATTATTATTGAATTTATTTCCTTTTGAGTTAGGGTGTCATTGTCTAACCCAGAGTGGTCTTGAATTCACTAATTACCCTAGGATAGCCTCAAGGTTGTAGAAATATTTTTAATGAACATCATTAAGTTACAGTTTTGTTGGAAAAAAATGTTGTCCAAATATGACAAAATCTGTGACACAGACTGATTGATTTCTTAATCAAAAGTTGCTGTCAACAGTGGCACACCAATGATGCTAATTTATCAGTACTTAATCATTTTGTACATCAATATTTTAAAGTAGTTACTATTTTACATGAAAGTTTTCACATAATTTTAATTTTATTTTTTACTTGCACATGAGATTATGCATTTTGGTCTTAAAAAATAAGACAAGATGAGAAAACATCAAAGTTCATCCCATAGGATCAGTATGAATTCCTACAATATGATATGTAAATAAACAAAAAGTTGAAATGTATTTTTCTGACCCAAGTTACCGTTTCACTGGCCATTTCCTCTCAAGGCATCAACTGCACACATCCATGGTCCTCAGAACCAGCAAGAGTGGTCACTCTGCCTGTGCACCATTTTGGCTCCTGACATCCCCTGCGTGCTCACAAGCCCCCCAGTCGGATTTTGTCACTTAAGAATTAGACAGTCATTAATCTGTCACTTGCCACAGTTCTTCTGAGAGTTTTAATCCAATCTACCTCTTTCTACAGTGCTTCGGGAGCTTTCTATTATTCCTATAGTGAAATACAATCCTTGAGCTATGAGATACAGAGCATACATAACTTTATATCTGGGTTGACCCTTCAATCTCAGTTCTTAATTCACCTTTCCCATCACTCGGTGACCAACAATCCTAGTCTCCTTCAGTTCACTGAATTGGTCATGTCGGTTCCCACATTTAGCCTTACTCTTTTATTGACCTAAAGTATTATTCTCTCAAATCTTGGCCAGCCTGACTCAGTCTCCCCTTCAAGTCTCAGTGCAAACACCACTACTCTAGAGAAATCCTCTCACTTCAGCAGATCTTGCTGCCCAGAGCAAATTATTTCCATAGCATAAGAACAGTAACAAGCATCTATTCTGTTGATTTGTGTGTAAGTATTTTGAGTGATTACTCACCTAGTTAGATTACAGGTTTTATGAGGCCAGGGAAACTGTTCAGTGCCCTGGTGTCTAGACTGATGCCCAGTTCACTGCAGTCAGTTCACAGATACCCACCGAAGGAATGAATCAGTGAGTGAGTGAGTGAGTGTGGCTGAATCCTTCTCTCCCTCATCCTTTCATTTCTCTCTTTCTCATCTCAGTGACTCCTGCTTAGTGTGTGAGCTCTGCTGCATGATGGGGTGAAGCTCAGTCCTCCCTGGCCCTTTCCCTGACACTCAGGACCTGGCCTTTCTGTACTCAGGGCACTCTGCTGAAAATTAACTCCACTCACACTCTCATCCTTCCCTCCCCCAGTGGAGCTCACCTCATCAGAAGGCCTGAGCCAGCGTGCTCTAAGGTGAGTAAACCCATAGAAAATGTTACAGAGAAGCCACAACTAAAAGGTATGGGAAAATAAAAAAACAACTTCTCAAGTCACATAGTTAAAATTTTATTTCAAAATACTGCAAGGGAAAATTTCACCAACAAATGAATTCAGATAATTAGCTCTTGTAGACATTTTGTAAGAGATTAGGTGTTAAAAGGGTGTGTTTAAATGAACTGGTTAATAATAGTCCAACTTCAATACCTCTTTTTTGGCTAAGAGGCTCTTCACAAGATTAGCAGTCATCTACCTCTATGACACTGATATTGTAGGAGTTTTTGTTCCATAAAACTATGTCAGAAAATTGCTCATTCATTTTACCAGACATGATTTGTAAACCCGTTAAGGGGCTACCTAGTATATCCTTCAAAAAGTACATTTTTGGAAAATCAGAATTTCCCAACATTAATTTAAAGGTAGGTAAGAGCATATTAGGACTCGCATTTTACCCTTTGCTGAGCTAACTTGACTGCTGCAGTAATACTGTCAATAAAGACACAGCTTCCAGGCCCAGAGAAAGGAATATACTGGCACTAGCACAGTAAACAGCATACGCACTTGTGCATCCTTTCAATGCCTCCATATCCGGTGTTTATAGAGGACACACAGTGGATGAACACGGATTCTGTGCCTAAGGTTATGTGTGCCAAGAGGAGGAAATCTGAGCTTGGTTACTCCCTGTCTTAACAGCAAACGGTGAGCAGACTTGTTCTTTGTCACAGAGGGAAAACTGTCTCAGCATTTAGAGTTGTTTGCTGTAAGCATAGTATTAAGAAATCCTTCAGTGTGTGAGCTCACAACTTATACGAAACACACACTTGGGAAACCATGTAGTAGTTAAAGGACTCATAGACACTGTCCTTCACTCTTACCCACTCTTTGTCCCCATGTGGTGACGTAGAAATTTGTCTCAGGACACCTGTGCTACCTTACCAGCCATTCAGATTGATCTGAGTGACATGGACCGCATCTAAATATCTTCAATTTGTGCCACACTGTTTTTAATTAAAGCTTCTTCAGTAGAATTCTAATATGATGAATCTAATTTGTGGTATTAACACAATCACATCTCCTGGGATCCCAGACTCAGACAGTTGTGAGCCATCCCAGGCCACAGAAAACTGGAGTACAGCATGTGATATACTATGACTCACATGTAGAAATTTAGACTGAAATTCTTATCATTGATTTTATTGTAAAAAAAAATAGACATAATGTCAATAATCATCATTTCCCCACAGAAAGACATTTGATGCCTCCCCAGAAAGAAGAATATAACCTTGAAGTGTTTTAATTCTGCTTTGGAATGAGTGTTAAATGTCATTCACATTGGAATTACATCACTTTGGTGAAGTATATTTGCAGTATTATTGAGTATTTTTTACTTTTATATGCAGTGATGAACTAAGCTAGGACTGTCCAAAGATTATTAAAAAAATATGTGTTTGTATAAGGAGTAAAGTTTGTGATTAGTCTGTTGTCATTTCATGTAAAATACATGCACATGTATGCATCCCACACATACATGGAGACCTACTCAGAGTAAATCTTTCCTAATCGTTAAATTTATCAGGATGTCAAGTTTGCATTTTACCATCTGAGAACACAAGAGGGCAGCATCTTCTCTCTACCTTGAGGAATTTTTTTTTTTTTTTTTTTTAATCTTTTTTGAGACAAGATCTCGCTATGCAGTTCAACCTGGCTTTGAGCTCACTTTGTAGCCCAGGCTGGTCTCAAACTCTCAAGGATCGATCTTCCCACCTCAGCCTCCGAGTGCTGGGATTACAGGCGTGAGCCACCAAACCGGGCTGAGGAACATTTTGAATTGAGGTGGGGGGGGGGGAGATCAGAAGGAGAAAGAGGTCTGGTGTAGCTGGATGGCTCAAAGAATATGTTCTAATTTTAAGAACAGTTACTTATATTTTTGTTTCCTAGAGCAAAACAATCAGAAGTATTTGAAACCTTTTTAGAGTTTAAAATCTGAGTCTTCATTGAGCAACACCAGAACAATGGGATTCTTCAATGTTTTCCTAGTGATCCTGTGGCTTCAGTTCATCTGTGAGTAGGGTCATTTCTTTGGGAACTTCAAGTACAGTACATAAAATTGTCATGTGTACCAGGAGTGTGGGATGAATATGGATGTGTTTATTCCACTAAAAAAGGAAATTGGGAAAGCACTGAAAAGATAAATTTTATCCTGGAGAGTAAGCACCCACTTGCCAACTGATCTTCTTTGCCTGTTGTCTTTTTGCACAGGGGTGAGCGGCCAACAGAAGGAGGTAGAGCAGAGTCCTGAGACCCTCAGTGTTTCAGAGGGAGACAGCATTGATCTCAACTGCAGTTACAGTGGCAGGAATTTTCAAACCTTTATTTGGTACCGACAGCATCCTGGGAAGGGTCCTGAGTTTCTGATTTCCTTGTTCTCCAGTGGTGACAGAAAGGAAGGAAGATTCACAGCGCAGCTCAGCACAGCCAGCCGGCATTTCTCCCTGCACATCACAGACTCCCAGCACCATGACTCAGCTGCCTACCTCTGTGCAATGAGCCCACAGTGCTCCACAGGCAGCTGCAGCCTGCACCAGAACCACAGAGTCTGGGCAGCCCTGAGGAGAGCAGAGAGCACAGGGCACAGGCTTTCTGTATCTGCTCCAAATGCAGAGGGGATTAAGAGCAACGCTAGAGATTAGGAGAGTATCTAATAATTCTGAAAATAAATGACCATGGAAGGGAAATAAGAGGCAAAATCTTTGTCTGATATAAATATTTTCCTTTTTTCCATTGCCACTGTAATTAAAAAATGTTTTTGAGATAGTGTATGTACAAAAGGTTCACATATGTAAGTTATAAATCTCTGTGCAATTGAAGGTCCATGTATCACCATGAATGTGTCACCATAAGCAATGCTATAAATGTGTCAGTCACCTGTGAAGCTTCCCTGACTCCTTTTTGCTTTAAAATTGAATTACAATTGTCAGAAATTGTGTACAGCACATACACCTTGATGTCTTCTTTAGTTTTAAGTCACAATTTTATACAGAGGATTAGTTTTGTGATGAGCTTTATCAATGAAGTAGCACATTTTGACATGACAGTGGATACTCCCTTGCAGTCTTCCTCTTTCTGTTCTGTGTCTCAAGTGGTCTGCTCCACTGCATTAGGAAAGTGTTGGTAACACAGAAATGCAAAGGAAAGGAAGGAGTCTTAAACCTCCACTTTCAGAAAGGCTTAGTTCATAACTACTTCATAGATCTACCACTTTTCCTCCACTTTCAGCTGCAACCTCACCCCTAGATTAGATAAAGACACAGCACGTGGGCAAAGTCACACCAGAGTCAGAGTGAGAACTGGCCAAACAAAGAGGTGGGATGCCTGCAGATATCAAGTATCTACACTGGTCTGTGTTCCTGTTTTTGAGTTCAGGCTGAAAAGTCTCTGATTTCTTTTCCAGAGCCGGTGCCCCTGGGGTGAGGTGTGGACCTAAGGGGCACTTCCTCCACAGCTATAAACTGCTCCAAGCACTAGTAGGGCACAGGAAGCAGCATGACCCCAGATATCTCAGGAAGGGTCTTCCAGAAGGCATTTAGAGGAGTTCTGGACACCAAGGTGCTTTGTTACCATTACTGAAGATCTGCCTGGATCTGCTACTACAGAACACCCTGTACCGGGGAGAATTTTAGCCAGTGTTGGTGAGGAGAGCTGGAAATGCTGAAGATGTAATGTGTGTTATCCTCAGCCCCACTTTTCTGACTTCTAGGCACAATGATCACGCCTTTGTTTTCCATGAAATCCAGGAAATATATGTGTGGCTTGATGAAAAGAAATCATTCATACAGTGTAATAGGCATTCAGATGAATTACAGGAATAAAAATTCAAACCACCTTTATTTGTAAAATGAATATTTTAGCCCATAAGCCATACCATTGTTTATATAAGCTAGGATCTAGAAGAATTTGGAAATGTGAAATTAAAATTTAGTAACCCAGCCCAGTCTGGATTTGTGTCACATTCTGAATCTGAAATTTGAAAGCACCTAACAAATGTTTCCAAAACACAGAAATAGAATTACATGGTGGTAAGGAAGACAGAATTTGTGCTGAAATCTAGACACATGCTGGCTCCAGGTTTCTAAGTTCATTCTGGAAGCACAGAATTGTGGAAGGAACCAAGGTCATGATAGTAGTTTGAACATCCATCATGGCACCAAACAGGCCATTTGATCATAAGCTGTAACCGTATATATATATTTGAGGATTGGTTTTATAAATAAATGAGATGACACATTAGTGTAGTTTGAATTTAAAAGAGCTTAAATTGAAATTGCTCTGCCTATAATTTATGGAGGAAAGAGGTTAAAAGGGTAGTTAAAGATATGGTTTAGCTGGAGTTTTGGTACAACCTCTGAGGAGCTTCAGGGCATGCACTGCCCCACAGAGCTGCCTCCCCCAACCTGAGGGAGGGGGCCAGGTTGTTCACCTTTGGTTCCTTATAATGAAGCACTGAAGTCACTTGCTGTGGCCCTTCTTGGGCTAAGGTGTACTCCGTGGAACAGTGGTGACCACAGTGGAGGAGCTCAGCTTTGTGAAGAGATCAGCTCTGTAAAGAAAGGCTCTCTGCACAGAGACACAACACCCTCAAGAGTTGGGTGCTGGCTACAGTGGTCAAGAAAAGGGACTTTGTGTGCTGACCATGTGTGAACTATGGCTGTGGGACCCTCTTGGCACCTGTGGAGCAGCATTTCTAATTGTTATATTCCCAAATTTTAATTTTTCCTTCCACTTAATGGGATATATGGAGAATATATATATATATATATATATATATATATAAAATCTCACAATCTTTAAAATTTGAAATAATTTTGGGCTAAAATGTATAAAAAGTTCTACATAGAGAGGCACCATCATCTATAATTATGAGTGGCTAACATAGTTTTGCTCTGGGTTTATATCTGAGAAAGGCAGACTGGCTGAGGGGATTTCACTGTGTCTTTCTCCTCAAAACCTTCCTCTTGAATGGCGCTGGCAGCAGCCCTGTCTGTGGGTGCACAGGTGGATGGGCAGCCTTCTCACTAGGATGGAAGTGTGAGAGACCAGCCACACAGCTGTTCCTCTCACTCCCTGTGCCCAGTGCCAGTCTGCAGATGGTGTAACAGTCACCTTTTCATGGAAATCTCAGCCAGCTTGCTTTCCAGGAGATGAACTTCAATTAGTGAGGATTAAAAACTTGAGGCATTTTGTTTCATTTTATTGTTGTTGTACTAAGATGCTGAAAAATTAAAATAATTGATTAAAAGATAAGTAGCAAAAATTGTTAGTTAAAAATATAGCTATTAGCAGTATTGTCATTCTGTACTGAGCTCATTACCCTAGTAACCAAGCACCAATCACAGTTATAAATTAACTGACCATGTCGTTATGCTGTTCTGTACACGTCACCCCCCAAGTAACCTGTGTGCTATGTCAACCTTTGTTCCCCCCTGTAAGAGACAAATTATGTTGTGTCAACCATTGTTCCCTTTATGAGAGAAGAATGTTCCTGGAATTGGCAGACCAAGGGCTATGAATTGGCTAACCACCCACTGTGAAATGGCTCTGACCTCAAACAAAGGGGAACAAAGGCCCACCTTATTTCTGTTTCTTATCACTATGTACTTAATGATCAATGAGCTAATCATAAATGAACCATAAAAATCAGTCAAAACTCTAACTCAGTTGCACAGCTTTCCAAATTCTATCTGCATTGTGTCTCTGGGCCAGCTAAAATAAAAGCGCTTCTTTTAAAAAAAAAGACATCTTGCCCCGTTTATCATCTCAGGGATCTTGCTCCTTTTTTCATCATGTGGCCTTCTTTTTGGGTGGGTTACAACAATTGTATTATTTTAGTTGGGATCTTAGGGAATATTACGGTTTTCTTTCTTAATTTCTTACTGTTTGTTGTTAGTTTCTCTAGCAACTATGTAGAGATTCATTTGTTTTTCAACTTGTGGCAATGAAAAACTTTAAATTGATCAAAGTTTTGATTATGAAACTGTTTTGTACAATTTAAAATATATTAATATGAAACTTAGTTTTCTTTCTTTCCAGGGCTGTACATGAAATCTGAGGATGTAAATAGAGCGGTGAGACATCCTGACATCTTGGCTGAGTTTACGCCTTCCTCATCCTCTCCTCACACCATCCAGATCTGCTCATTTCCTTGCAGTCTCCTGAGTCTTTAAGGTGAACCACTTTGACCAGGACAAAAAGAGGGTCAGAGAGGTGGAGTGCCAAAAGAAGCACAATGCTTGAAAAAAAAAATATTCAAATACACATACTCATCTCCTGACAAATCCCTCAGCCATCTACTTCCAGGTGGCTCCCGCCTTTCACACGTCTAGGTCCAGGTTAGAGGGAATACAGGTGTGGAATAGGAGTAGTTTTAATAATCTGGTCCCCATTTCGTTCAAAGCAATCTATATGGTTTACACTTTTGATAGAGCTTAACATATTGTAGGTAACCATCATTTCGTGGACTAAATGTGAGTTGGGGATTTCTGAGAATGCTTGAACAGTAGGAACAGCCAGTGTCTGCCCAGGAAAGAACCTTGTCAGCATAGTAACTGTAGTGTATGCTGTTGTTTTAGGGTGAGTTAAACAGTCTAATTCTATACTGACTGCTGTTCTCGGGTCCCCATTCTAAGTGCTGCTAACCTGTTACAGAAAGTCAAGTAGACCTGGCAATGCCTTGCAGTGAGCTACATTTATTCTCATGGGGGAACAGACCTTGTCTACGAACCTAAGAAACCCCACTTCCGGGTTGAAAGAGCTGCATAAAAACCCATGTTTACACAAACTGGGAGACAATCAGAGTCTGCATCTAGATATCCAGCGAAGGGAGAACACCCTGAACAGAGAACCACAGGCCACACCATGCTCTCCAGTCTGCTGTGGGTGTTCGGAGCCTTCGTCTCTTCTGGTATTGATGGTCCAAATATGGTCAGGAATATTAAAGATGAAAAGTCTGTGTACAGGCGTGAGATGCTTAACATGGGCCAGATGTGAAAAAAGGAATGAGGAAAAGAGCAAGCAAAGTGTCACTCCAGTTTGGCTTCTTGTTGGGTCCTGGATTAGTCTGAAATCTTCTGGTATTTTATTATTGTGTCAGAGAATCAGCTATGTTTTTTTTTTTATTGCTCCTACAGGACTCATTGTGGCTCAGAAAGTGACTCAAGGTCAGACCGCTCTTTCAAGGCCAGAGGGGACAGCAGTGGTTCTGGACTGTTCCTACAAGACAAATGTAGCCCTTTATGATTTGTACTGGTACAAGCAACTCTTCAGTGGAGAGATGGTTCTGCTCATTCACCAGAGTTACACTGGTAATAATGCAAATACTGGTCGCTATTCTGTCAGTTTCCAGAAAAGAGCTCAGACAATCAGCCTCACCATTTCACCCTTGCAAATGGAAGATTTTGCAACATACTTCTGTGTTTTTCGGGAACGCACTGTGCTTCAACTGACAGTAAAAGCTGAACAAAAACTCAGGAGTTCTCTGAGAGCCAGCAGCCCAGCTGAGACTGGCACCTGCAGATCCCAGACAGGAAGGGAGCATGGTGGTTGCTTTACTGTGGCCTGGATCAGTGAATTAAATTCTAAGTAAAACCTTTTTCTGACTCCTTGGGAAATTAGTGTCAGGAAAACTTTTTTCTAATGCATTTCCTTGAATACTTCAGTGAAAAATAGATCAAATCCAAAGTGAATAAAATTGTCTAAAGTTGGAATACTTGGCTCATAATTATTTTATGTGTCAATTTCCTTTACAGAGGCTCACAACAGAAATCTGGATCTAGTCATCTAGAACAGTAATGCTAAATATTTCCTAAGTCTGTTTCCTCTAGGTTTTAGATCAGTTGGGTACAATCTGAGATGCTGACCACCAGAGTGATTTAAATAATTCATGAAATCTACAGAGTAGAACTTCTGCAATTGCTGGAGCTGATGCGGGAGTCTCTGTGACATTTTGTCCTCATATCTGGTACTGAGCCTGATTGATTTAATGTCAGCTAGATTACAGTTTTATAAATATAACTGTGGAATATAAATTGGATGAGCATAAACATGTACAGAAACTATGACTTGTAAGAATATCATTGGACCTATGAAGACATTGAAAACTGTGCGAGAAAATTACTTGTGTGTCCCCCATCTCCTTCCTCTCACTTGTTGGATGATCTTCAAGAGGATAAAAGCCATTTGCCATCAAGGTACATACATACTTTAGCTAAGACAAAGAGAAAGTGAAGAGGTCATAATGGGAGGTAAAAGAGATTTGTTACCTGAAAATGAGCTGGCAGGTTTATGACCACATGTGGGAGCTACCCAAGAGCATATAGACCTGAAACCACAGACCTTACAGGAAACAGTTCCTGTATCACACTGACTTTTCACACCTTGTACCATATCTGTCATGGCCAATCTTAAGCCAGGAAAACACAGCCAACCAAATTCTAGGAAATATATTTCTAGAGGGTTGAACTGAGACAGTTCAAAGCTACTACAGTAATACTTAGCAGCTTGATACTCATATATACTTCCTTTAAAGACATTTAAAGTTTATATAAAGACAACAGAGCAATCATAGTTGCTACTAATAACATGCAACTACCCCTTAACAACTAAACCTGTGCCTACCCTGTCCCTCATAGAGTAAACAAATCCATGTACTATCGGGTTCCGACCTAGATCCCCAATCTTCCATATCAGTGTTCTTCAAAGGCTTAAATAAATGAGAGAAGTGATACGATTGTAGGGCTCCAGGAGGGTCAAAATGCTTTAGCTCAGTTTGAGGTGCCAAGGGCTAAGACAAAGAGCTTCTCTGGACTGCCCATATTTATTTCATCTCCAAACAAAAGTGTGGAAACTGAAGAAAGCATGGGAAATGAGCAGGACCTTGGGAGTCACTTCAGGAACATCTTCAACAAATAAATTATGCTGATTTAGGATTACCATATTATCTCCAAGATGACATTTATGGTAGGAGAGAAACTGCAGAGTGAAATTCCTTCAGCTGCAGTCTCTAGTTACTTTATTACTGTTTGAGCCAAGGTGTCTTCAGCTGTGGCCTTACTGTGCCTTTTGAGATATCTGTGGCTTCACAGGCCACTACAGGCCTCATCTAGGACCAGTGATTCATAGAGGTTCACTTACTATGAATCAGCTCCCATCACCAGGCAAGGAGCCTAGGCCTAGGCCAGACTCACAGATAAACATAGAAAGTCAATTAGTTCATTTTAAATCCTTCTCAGCGCTACTTTTCACTGGTTTCCAGCAATGTACCACCTCTGGGGGATGGTCCTATCTCTTCTAGGTGAGTCAACACACTCTTTCTTTAATGTACTGGCATTAATATGTAATATAGTAGAAGCCTAACCCTCATTGCCACACTTTATGTTACTATAAGAAGGCAAATTAGAAGAGAGTGAAGTATGGCCAATATAGAAATAAATATATTTATTTAAAAATGAAAATGCATTTCATAACTGTTATAGCTCTTTCCTCCATAAGAACCACGTCATTGTAGTTAGTTTTTATGACCACCTGATCTGTCACCCACTGCATAATAATAACAAATAGCATCACTCACTGGTGCACATTATGTTTTGTAAAACAAATTCTACCATCAATGCTCTGTGGAATCAAATAAAGTTGGATAAAGGACTCCAAGACCATCACTGTTTTGGCTGGAGTTACACACAGGTGACTAATAGCATCCACGTCTGATACACGTACTTCAGGAAGCAACAGCAACAACAACAGAGAAGCCTTAGGAATAATCAGAGAAATTTCACACACTCTGTTCTGAAAAACAACCTTAAGAATAATGGCTGAATTCTCATTGAGAGCGGTAGAAGTCTAGAAGGAAAATATTTTTAAAGGAATTAATGCAAAAATGAGGAAAGCTCTCATGTTCTCTTTCTATGAGCATAAATATATTTTGAACTATCTTTGTTTAAAAATCACTTGAAGCCAGGCATGTGGCAGAAATAGTCTACAGTCCATCTGCTTGGGAGGCTGAGACCTAGGATTGCAAATTTGATGTCAGCTATGGAAACGTAGTGAGAGCCTGTTTCAAGCCCTGCCAACCAACAAAAAACTCTTAAGAAGGTGATAAGTTCTTTCATATTCTGTATGCAATGTGTATTTATTTTTTAAAAATATTTTAAGAGAAAAGGTTTCACTGTGTTGCCCTGGTTGGTCCTGAACTTCTGGGTCCAGGGCTTCGGTGTTGCAGGGGTTAAAAGCATGCACCAGTGTAGCTGCTTTTGCAATGTGGATTCCTGGAAAAGAAATCACATGCAAAACACACAAATGAATTGTAAAATCAACAGGACAAAAAATAATCAATAACAAAATTGAAAAAGCCATTTGCAAGATATAATATTAAATAGCACATATGCAAACAAAACAACATTTGATATCATTATTCATTAAAAAATGATAATAAAAACCTGTGAATCTTTATCTTTAACCTTCAGCACCTTGAATGTAATAATGCATTCAAGAGTTATTGATCCCCAGAAGGCAGAGAAAACTAGGAACTACCTCCAGGGAGAGGGATGATTCATGTTTCTAAAAGGTCTCAGCTTTAAACCCTTAGTGGCTAGAAGAAAAAGTGTTAATTAAGGAACAACAGATCTGGTCATTGAAGGAATGGGAGGTTTTACCAAATAGTAAAAGTTGGTATTTATTAAGCTTACTATGCATTTCAAAATCCTTATCTAAATTTAAATAATAAAGTTCTATTACATGTTTGATTGTTCCCATTTTTAAGGTTTAGACTCTGGGACATGATTTTGTCTAATCTGAAGAACAACTATCATTTGTAGTGCTGTCTTCCAGGGTGCAGTATCTGAGAGGCTCTGAAGGAGCAGGATTTTCACCACAGAGAAGCAAGGGCCCATAGTGCACGCATGCTATCTCAGTGATGGTGATGCACAGAATCCAACAGGATTACAAAGGGAACTGTGAATAAAGACGCCAAAGTGAGGTACAAATCACCAGAGGATTAACAGTCATCAACCAGTTAGCAGTGCTGATGGCTTTTACTGAGTCTTTTCTCCTGAGGCCATGGTTATAGTGATTTATGGGAATGAAGCTCACAGCCTGCTAGATGTCCCTATGAGTTTGTGTTCTCTAAAATCAAAGAATGAATTTTAGTAACAATGGAGATCAAAGGTAGAATATATTTATTGAGTGAAACAGTCTGTCTGAGAGAGAGAGACAGAAAGGGTTGCCTAAGGCTCTGTCTTTTTACTGACTTTTATAGAGTGAAATCACTCTGTAATCAGGAGGTGAGAGGAGGCCAAGATTGGGAAAACAGGGGAACTCACAAGGTGGGCATGAGATGGAATTGAACTGTGATCAACCAATAAGATTAATTATTAAGGTAAAACTGACCAAATCAGGGACAAATGGGGAAGCGAGTCATGTAGCAAAGGGGCTGCTTACAGAGCAGTGCCTCTTCCCAAGGGGGCTGGGATGGTGCTTCCTCAAGGTGACCCACACCTATTTAGGTATCACTCCCTGATGTCTATCCTTAGACTATGGTTGTATTTGTTTTGCCTTTTGTCTTGAGACCTGTCCCACAGTGGGCAGTGCCGCTTTCCTCCAAGTCTGCAAGGTATCTGGTCTGTACTGGCTTTTAGGGCCCAGCCACGACTGTCTCCCTATACCATTTCCATCTAACTGGGCTGCCTGTAACAATGATAGAAAGATATTTCCGAAGTGCTCAGAGTAGGATTCCACATCAGCACCACTGCCCCTGGCCCATGCCCATTCTGCCTGTAATATCTGCATGATATTCCAAACACCTCCTCCAAATACCCATGTGGCTCACTTTGCACTTTATGTTATGAGTCAAATGTTACCACCTTGTAAACTTGTGTTTAAATCTAGTTTTCTTTCAAGAGATTCGGGATCTAACACATTCCATGCATCCCAGAATTGCAACTGTTCTTGGCCCCTGGGCTTTACCCCCTGCAATCAGTTACTTCGCCCTATCAAATTGGCTTCCTTGCTGCCTCTAGTGTTCACATCTGAAATTGCGGCAAAGTTTCCTTGCAGGAGGAGCCACTAAAGCTGAAGGGACATCAGCGAAACTCACGTTGTCAAATGTTCAGGGTTAGCTCTTAAGCACTATGAAGTATGCGAAATTCTGTTTCTCCTATGGCAAAGAGAATGGGATACCAATAAGAGCAAGTTCTGTGCTCTGTCCGAGGTGGCTTTCTAGGAAGGGCTATAAATCCAGGGGAAAGATTCTGAATGCAGTGAAAGAAACACATGGTCTAAAACATCCTTGTGCTTGTGAAGCAGATAGCACCATGTCTAAGGGCTACGGCTCTGCCTGAATCTCAGTGATGGAGCACACACCTAGTGTATTTCTAGGTCCAATCCCTAGTCTAGAGGAAAGTACCATAAATATATTGGGATCGCCTCTTCTTCAAGCAAATATGTTAGGGATGAATCAGATACCAAGGACTCAGACCCACGGCTTTCACATACGTTTCTCCAGTTCTGATGAATTCTGCTGTCCCTACATGTGATATGACAGAAACTCGTTCTTTAACTTTCTGCTTCCTTTGCAGTTGCTGAGAAGCTCAT